TAGGTGGCAAAGATCAGGCCCCTCATGCATCCCTTCAGGATTCTAAGCTCTATGTGTCTTCTATCTGCTGTTCTGTCTTCACTTAGGATCACCTCTGCAGGTGACATCCCCGTCATCCCACCGCCTCTGCCAGGCTAGGAGTCCAGCTGCAGTGATTCAGGCTAAACCTGGCTTCATCTTAGTCAAAAGTTTATGCTTTTAGCCACTGCAGGTTGGCATGTGTGGAAGTGCTGGCGGTGACTAAGGCAAGATTGTGTGGGCTGGGGGAGATTAAAAAGCAAGTCTGACTTTGTGAATTGATTCAGGACCCTTTTGTAGTTGAAAAAGAACCATTGCATTCTCCTACATTGTCTGTTTGTTTTCTGGTTTATCTCTAGTGGGAAGCGAACACCTAATAAACAAGATGAAATTATGACATAACCAATTACCCAGTTCATTATGGAAACACAAACATTGACATGGAAACAAAGCAGACAAAGAATAATTGTAAACTGAGTTAAATTCAATTTGATTTATATTCATTTTAAGCTATTAGAGTCAGGAATGATTCAGCATGGGTTGAATGTTGGCCTGGGTCCAGAGCAGATATTGACAAATAGCACTTGTGTGAATGGGAATACATTTCTCAATCTCTTATGCTTCATAATTTACATGGATGTAACAATGACTTGAGCTCACTGTGTTAGTGAGAGGAGACCTCAAGCACACATCCCAAGTATTCTCAGCAGTTCCTGCAGTGAGCAACACAGAAGTGTCAGCTCCTACAGAGGTCAGGAGGAGTGAGGTGGCAGATGGATTCATCCACACAGTTGGTTTCATCAAGTTATTGAGTTGTCTACACTTCAGTAACAAATGTATACATGTTAAAATTGGGTAGATAATTCATTAAGATTCCTGTATATAAGTAATGGGTCCAATTTGCTTTCAATTCCATATTTTCTGGGGAATCACAAAATACAACTTTTTGCTACAGTGAAAAAAATGCATGTGGTAAACATACTTTCCAGTTTCATTTATTTTCCTCATTATTGTGTTCCTTTTTTCCTCATTGCTACAAAGCATCTAGTGATTTTCAGACAGCACTGATGGAGAACAGCTCAGAGGTGACCGAGTTCTTCCTACTGGGACTGACTGATGACCCACACCTGCAGGTTCCCCTCTTCATCATCTTCCTCCTCATCTACACCATCACTGTGGCTGGGAACCTGGGGATGCTCCTGCTGATCCTCCTGGATCCTCGTCTGCACACTCCCATGTACTATTTCCTGGGTAACCTGTCTCTGGTGGACTTTGGATACTCCTCAGCTGTCACTCCCACGGTCATGGCTGGGCTGCTTATGGGAGACCAGGTCATTTCCTACAATGCCTGTGCTGCTCAGATGTTCTTTTTTACAGCATTTGCCACTGTGGAAAATTACCTCCTGGCCTCCATGGCCTATGACCGCTATGCTGCAGTGTGTAAACCCCTGCATTATGCCACCACCATGACAACAAAAGTATGTGCAAGTCTTATCATAGGTTGCTATGTCTGTGCTTTTCTGAGTGCCTCCTTCTACACTGGGGACACATTCAGTCTCTCTTTCTGTAAATTCAATGCAATCCATCATTTTTTTTGTGATATTCCAGTCATCATGGCTCTGTCATGTTCTGACAGATATGTTAATGAGCTGGTTCTTATTGATGTAGCCAGCTTTGTTATCTTGTTTGCCCTCCTAGTTATCTTAATATCCTACACATTGATTTTTATCTCCATTGTAAAGATGCGCTCAGCTGCAGGACATCGCAAGGCTCTGTCTACCTGTGCTTCCCACTTCACTGCTGTCTCCATCTTCTATGGGACTACGATCTTCATGTACCTACAGCCCAGCTCCAGTCACTCCATGGACACTGATAAAATCGCCTCTGTGTTCTATACTATGATCATTCCCATACTGAACCCTATGGTCTATAGTCTGAGGAACAAGGAGGTCAAGAGTGCATTCATAAAAATTATTTTGGAGACAAAATAATCTGTGGAATTTTGACTTTACTGTTTTGGAAACACTCAAAATCTGTTTTCACTCCTCACACATCTTCATGTAGTCCCTCAAAATTTAATGTCCACGTTTATATTAAGTTTCTGAAGTGATGAGTTTGCCTTTTCAAATACCTGTTGTTTGGAACAAAGATAATATTATATACAGAAACATAATATGGGAATGAAGGTGTCTATGGTTTCTTGGGGTCTATGTTCAAATTCCTTATTAAAGATATTAGGGCTCATTTTCAATGTCAATACAAATGTGTGTAAAAGAAATGTATAAAGAAGCCCACCAACAGAAGTGCACACACACGTCGCTAGAGGACATGTGCATACAGGTGTGGTAAGTTTCCCAGAATTAAATGTAATGTAGCTATTTATGTTGGCTAATTGCATGTGTTAAGTTGACTTGATTAAGGAACACCTAGATACCTAGTAAAATATTTTTCTGTGTATATTTCTAAGCAAGTTTCCAGAAGAGACTACTATTTGAATCAGTAGACTAGCAAAGATCTTTCCTCATTAACGTAAG